TTGCATCAAAATTTGAAGAAACCTCTATTTTGGGCACTGCTCCTATGATGACCATTTAAGGGAAATCATGTCACTTACTGTTCTCAAACTTACAGGAAAGAAACATGGGTCTAACATACAGCTTCAATAGGCAACGCAGTCTGTTTGGTAAAATTTTCTGGCAATTTAACAGTTTTTTGTGAAAATTTAATTTTTCACTTATTTGCATCTTTATTTTCTGTTCTTTGTCTGTACATTTGACAGCTTTGCTGCCTTGTGTACATTTCAGATAATGTGTGTATTGAATCTATGAGTGTGAACCTTTCTAAAAGAACATTAGATAAATGTCAAACAAATGTGGAACAGCTGACAAGACAAATTCAGCAGTAAGCATATTTTATATTTTCAAGGCTACATTTTCGTCATCAACTGCATGTCACTTTAGATGCAGAACCTGAAGAGCACTTTTTGATGTCAGAAAGCAAGGTTTTTTGCTCTAGGCAGACAAATTTTGAAATAAGAGTTGATTTGGAAATTAAGTAAAAAAGCAGGTTTCATGGGAATTATGGATCGAGTTACTAGTAATGTGAAACTCTCCAGGACAAGTATTTGAAAAACTTACGGCAATAACTTTATTATTAAATTTCTTGCCAACAAACTGCATTCTTGTTCTTGAAACCTGACAATTTACAGACATGAACTGCAGTTCCCTAAATTTGAACCATGTCTTAGTGTATTAGTCCATTTGGGATCCTTTTTTACAGAATTAAAGACTCAGATGCCCAAAGATTGAGAGGAGAATACCAGAGACTTGTTGATGGTTTGCGTGACGCCAGTGTTGCCAGGGAAACAGACATGATCCTGTCGAACCCAGTACTTCCAGATGAAGTTCTTCAAGGTGGAGTGCTCAGCTATTAGACTATATCATGATTTAGTGTCTTGAGTTCTTTTTAGGGGACTTTATTTTACTGTTGTTTGTTCAAATGTGGTCATGCACATAAAACACTCTCTGAAATTGGAGAGTTTCTCAAAAAAGCTTTCTTTCTCACTATATTTCACATGTAAAACAATGAGTATATAAATTTAGAAATAAGTGTGCGAATACTTTGATGCACTGATGTAATTTATTTTATTTTACAAAGGAGATTCGGTGCAAGTAGTTCATTTTTCTTTTTTTTTTTTAATTTTTTTTATGACATGTTTTTATAGTCACCCCTCTTGTTGAAACTCTTCTCTGCTGGCAATCAAATTCAGCAAGTTTAACCATCTACAAAATATTTTTGCAATTATTTTTGTTTGCAAATTACCCTCGTTCCATGGAATTTACACAGAATGATATGGCAGATATTTTAATTTTCTAGAGGCTGTCCCAGGCAATATAAGAAATGCAGAACATTTTGTGAGCTTTTTAAAAAGGTTTGTGGAGTACCTGAAAACCAGACTAAGAGTACAGCATGTTGTGTCAGAGAGTCCGCCATCTTTTCTACGAGACTGCTCTCAGAAAGTCTGCATTGAAAGAAAGCCTCTTAGGTAACATGTATTTAAAACATTTTATTATTTTCTAAAAATTCATTAAAAAAATTCATATACCAGCATATTGTCATAACAGAAGAAGCAACTTTTGATCAGGTGCAGCTGGGTTGTGTGCAGTAAAAGGGTTGATTGATTTTAGTAATTTTTTAGAATGATGGATGTTTTTTTATGCATATATACATATGGATCTTTACTCAAGGAAACTCAGATTCGATTTCAACGTAGATACATGGAACTTCACAATTGGTATGCAGTCTGTATTTTTATGTTTTGTTTCTCTCTTACTGTGAAGTTATAATCCTCAAATTAACTTTTCCGACTTCTTAAATTTGGTAATTCCAGGTTTTGTTCAGAGAGATTGGGATCGTTGCTAAGAACACTTGAACTTGCAGACACCACTGACTACTCTTCTCTCATCCTCATGGCAAACTTTGCAACCCTCGTGAGCACATATGCCAAAGGTAAAACATTTTCCTTGCAGAATTTTAAGAAAGAATCTCAATGCCAGATACACAAATTTTTATGTACTCGTCAGTGTTTTAAACCCCCATGTACATTTTTACTGCTTATTTTGCCTTTGGTCTCTCCTCTTCTGAAAGTTGATATTTTGTGTTTTTCAAAGCAAAATGATGGCTTGGACTCCCTGAAATTTTGTAGGAAATTACAGGTGTTAATTTTGGACAGCCTGTACCCAATCCTACCCTGGCCTGAAAGTGACAACTGTCAGTACCGGTAGGAAGGTGGAAACATCCTGTCCTGATACATAGCAAAGTTGAATGCAGAATTGTTTTAAAAAATGTGAAAAACAACAGACATATTTTGCCTAGATATTGTGATTTATTTGCTTTTCTGTGGAATCCTTGTCTACACATCTGAGTAATTAGGCTGAAACTTGTCTCATCAGTTGGCATTTAACATGCAGATGTCTAGAAAAAAAGATGTGTAATTCTTCTGCAATATTGTCCACATTTTGTTTTTCTTGTTGTCTTTTTCAAGTTCACTTCTTACAAGAGCACATTTCTCTCAGATCTTTTCGAAATTGAGAACCATAGATACCATATACGACAAAGTTCAGGGAAGCATTAATTGAAGAAAAGACACCAGTAAGTGGTAGGACTTTCCTAGAAAATGGTACTTTAGAGAAGTCACTTTTTAGCACAAAATTCAACTGAACCGATGCTGACATGGCATTGTTGATCAGAACGAACACCACAATTACTGTTAGAATTTTCATAAGAGTTTTTTCCAACTTATTTCTTTTCATATATGCCATTGTTTGTTGTTCTGGAATGACCCGTGACTTCCTGATTAGCCGTATGGTCTTTACGGTATAAAAGATTGTAAGAGTGAGTGGTATCAGTAATGTAGCTAGAAAGTGCACAATGATTCTGAAGACCACCGAGAAGATGAACCATTCTTGTCCTTCTCGTAGTTGGTATTCTGGACAGTATGTTGTGTGTACAGTCTCATTGTCGCAGATTTTGACAGAGACATTTTCTACATCAAACAGTTTTGGAAAATTGCAAAGGACAGACATTATTACCACTGTCAGAACTTGCACACAGCCTTGTTTCACAATGGTCTTTTTCTCTTTTGCCTGAACAAATGGTTTGTGGACACAGTTAAATCGATCTCTGGCCACTAGAACTGCGATGTTAATCTGTGACGTTTGCAGAGTGTAGTAAATTGCCGCCATGAACAACATATATCCCATGCCTGCATTGATCAGACCATTGCCATAAAGATACAGTAGCGTATGGATCACCAAAAACAGGTTATCATTGATTGCCAAAGAAAATAGAAGAAAATTGGTTAAGCCATTTTCCATTCTTTTTAAAAATGCTGCTGCAGAAATGGTATTCAAAATTATACCAATGATAGATATAAGAGTAGATATGGAATTCAAAGAAACAACCCATGGATCCATCATCTTGATACGAGGTGTAAAATTGTCCGAAGTTCAAATCTGTGAAAATCTGTCACAAAAGTTTACCCAGATGACTTCATCTCTATAATCTTCTCTGTGTTTTTACCAGGAATTTGCAGACATAATTTATCTGCTTGACACTATGGTATCTGTTATATAAACATAGTCTCCCTTAATCAATGACTTCATGCACTGTATTTCATTATTTGATTGGTCTGAACTGTCACTGCCAGTACTATAGAGTCTTCAAAACCATACCTCATCTCCAAAATGATCAAAAACAGTTGACATCAGGAGCGTTCTGCCTCCAGTTATAAGATCCTCAAATATTGCCAAGAACTGAGGTATTTAGCTTATTTACTTCCAGCAAGGCACATATTATGTCAGACTGGAGGGATACCTAGGGTTTTAAACCAGGAATGTCTCTCATAACAGAACATGTCATTTAGAGTGATATCTGACCAATCAGCTAGCTTTATTGAACTAGCTCCTCCCACTGTGTATGCAGCTTAAGTTCAGCAGATTTATACGTAACTGAGCACATGCTCTCACAGTGATATTTTTTCATCAGAATTTTTATGTACAGACACAGATATGTCTGTACATATAGCCATCAGCTGCATCTGTTGTCAGTTTCTTCTGCATTGTTGTCCACATTTTGTATATCTTGGTCTCTTTTTAAGTTCACTTCTTACAAGAGCACATTTTTCTCAGATCTTTTTGAAAATTGAGAATCATAGATACCATATACTTGTTTGAATGTAATAATTTAACAACTTCCCCCAAACAGTGTTTTTTTTTATAAATCCCTAAAAGTGTGGGCTGCATGCTAAAAAGTACATTCTCCTGTAGTACTTTTTTTTTATTTTTCTTTAAGGTTTTTATTTATATTATATAAGTCAAAATTTGGATTATTTACTTTTAATAACTGTTAATTAGTAGTCAAACTTTAATTTTATATATTTTTTATCTTTAAACTTTTATTAATTTCAAATTGTATAGTTTACTAAACACTTAATGGATTTTAGACTCAAAATGAATTTTATTATTAATATTATTAAAAATTATGGTTAGGTTTGTTCTTTAAAGTGGTTATATTTTATGTCCATTTCTTTTGCTACTACGAAAAGATTAAGACCAATTTACATTAATTTTGTTCTTTCAGGGTTTGTAATCATAATTGAACCGTTTGATGACCGCACGCCGACCATCTCTAATCCCCTCCTGAAGTTTAGCTGCATGGACGCTTCTGTGGCCATAAAACCAGTCTTTGACCGCTTTCAATCTGTAGTCATAACATCTGGGGTAAGCATAGTCACATAGTGACAGTGGAAATAAGTCTTGCAAGTAGTCATAACATCTGGGGTAAGCATAGTCACATAGTGACAGTGGAAATAAGTCTGTAGTCATAACATCTGGGGTAAGCATAGTCACACAGTCACAGTGGAAATAGGGCCTTATTTCCATAGGCTCCATCATTCAGTTGAGCTGATTGCACTTACCAAGAGTTCCTGTAGAGTTTAGTTGATTCACGTAGACCTATGGTGTCTTTGGGAATTGGGCCTAAATCTGACAACTTTCATGGGTCATCCTAGAATGCTTTTATGTAAGATCTCAATATTCTGAATAGAATTCATTCATTCAGATCTTGGGTTGATTTCTTTAGAAGTTATGATCAATTACTCACTGAGAGTGCACTGTAGGTATTAACTTTTCTCTCATTTCTTACCTGTAACTTCACATCCAGGGCAAATCATAAATAGCATCTCTCCTCAGGCATTCTATGTAATTTTACCAGTGAATAGCACATGGTCCGTTAAATTGAAGTAGAAAATTGTTAAAATTGTTTTTTTTTTCAGACATTGTCTCCATTGGACATGTATCCAAAGATACTGGATTTCCGTCCTGTAACCATGGCAACTCTTACATCAACACTTGCCCGAGCCTCAGTGTGTCCAATGGTGAGTTCTGATTTCTCTCGTCTGTGTTCTGCATTTCTTTGTTACTGTGATAGTGGCTAATTGTCATCTGTCCTGTGAAGTGTTCAAAGCACTGAAGGACCCATTTCCTCTAAACTCTTCACACAGCATGTCAGCAAATTAAACGGCCTGACTTCCCCAATTTTGAAGTAGTTAGTGATGGACAAAGAGAGACATAAAGAAAGGCATCGCGTCATCTAATGTCATTTTTAAACATTTAAGTAAGTTTTGGTAGCTCAGACTTATATTTCCTTTTCATTATTTGCAAATCTTTTGTGGTCACTTTCTGTGACAGTGGAAGGGAAATGTATTTGAAGGGGATCACAATGATGTACCAGCAGACTAGATGCGGAGAGTCTAATGTATATTTTAATTTCCTCAGCCTCCTATTTTTAGTTTTATACTGTATTATAAAAGTGTAATATGTAAGGTTTCTTGAAAGGGTATTGTCCTGAAAAACCAATTGGCCTTAACATTTCTAGAGGACGTTAAAGAAAGGTGAAAAAATGGATAATTTAGCAAAGATGTATTTCCTAGATTTGTGAGACCTGAATACCTGGGGCCATTTTAGCCATAGAAATTTGCTATTTGACTGACATTTTTTTTCAAACCAGTCAAAGTCATAGTCAACTGATTTATTATAATCAGTGAACGCCGCTAATTTTCTATAGAATCATTTCAGATTTGTTATCTATATTGGCTTTGTTTGACTGGTTATATTTCAGTTGATATAGTACATGATAATGATGAAATTTACCGTTTTTACCATGGTCACTTAACAGATTTACTGGAAGACATGTATATTACTAACATCTCAAAGGACATTATCTGGAAGAAGGGGGGCACTGAGCATATTATGGGTCCAAGATTTCAGGAAAAAATTATTATTATTATTATCTTAAATTGTTTCTTTTTATTGTTTTTCTTACATTTTCTACATTTTAAATAAAGAAATTTATGTTATCTTAATTTAAGTTTGTTTTATAATCAAATAAATAAATCAACAATTTATTCACCAAAGATACTGCTGCAAATAGATATATCTACTTAAATTTGTGTTAACATCTTTTTAAATAACAAGGCTGTATATGTAAATCATTATATTTTAAAAAGACAGACGTAATTTTCATAGCAAATTAAGTTGCCAGTTAAACCTCTGCTGCACTCATAGTCTTATCTGCTAATTTTGTCCTTTTCAAATCTATTAGTGTCAGTCATAATCTGAATCAGTTTACCAGTTGTGAAAAATTCTTGAATTTCTCTAGTGATTGTTGAAGCTTACAGGTGAAAAAAAAAAAAAACAACTAATTTTGGTTAGACCCTTAATATTTAAGTTATAACACAGTGATGACCTTCAACTTGGCTGGAAGATTAGGAAAAATGAGTTTCAGACAAAATGAAAAACATGTAGTCAAATAACATTACCCCTTGGTATCTGTAACAGTGATTTAGTAATTACTTGTCAATGAACCCCACTTAGCACAGTTGACTTGATGTTAAAAATGGCTATGTCTGAGTCATGAAATGAATCTGAAGATCTTATGACCATCATTTGTATCTATATCTGTAACAATGGTTTAGTGATTACTTGTTAAGCTATATCCACTTAGTATTTTAGCCTGAGTTTTATTTCATCTACATTAGTGGTATGAAGTGGAAGCAAACACTTCTTGTAACCATTGAAAGTGACTTCAAAAGCATATGGAATCTCCCTTAGTTGTATTTAGTCAGATTTTAGTACTTTTTAGGGAATGCTAACTGGATTCTCACAAGCATCCAACAAAGACTGGTTGCTTACCACTTCTAAGGCTATTTTATCCCAACTGCATTGTGCTCCACAGTTACAGGGTTGCTACTTAATATGGAATATTTTTTATCATTGTTATTTTTGAGTGCTGATTAAAATTTTTTTGGCTTGAGTCATTAAAAAAGTATGTCACTGAGTGATAATAACATCCAGTCTTCTGTTGTGAGATATTTTGTTCAATGATATTAAATCTGACATAAGATGCCATTCAAAAGAAAGGAACACCCCCAGAAAACCATATCAACAGTTTGATGTCAGTATAAACTTTGAGATAAGATATTAAAGAAAATGATAGCCTCCGGACAGTGATATGTTACACAGTCAAAGAACTCACTACAGTAAATCATGAAAAGTCAGTAATTGCGGGTATGACCTCCAGCAGCCGCTTGCAGCGCCCTCATCCTACATGGCATACCCTGTGACACGTTTTTTAGAGTTTGGCTGGGGATATCATTCCACGCAGTGATATTTGCCTGTCGCAGTTCATCACTATTTCCCGGCCGAGGACCATAGCTATTAATTCTGTGAGTTACTTCCGCCCACAGATTTTCAATTGGGTTCATATCTGGAGAGTTTGCAGGCCAGGGCAGTTGCTGAACCCATTGGTTTTGAAGAAAAACAGTGATTCTGCGGCCTCGATGTGGGGTTGCGCAGTCGTCTTGGTACACAAAGTTGTTCCTGAAGATGACTCTTACCAATCGAAGCATTGTTTGCTGTAGAATGTTTCTGTAGGAATCCTGGATGAGGTTGCCTCCTAGAAAAACCAACTGGTTCTGGGCACCAACATGAAATGCTCCCCAAACAGAGACGTTACCATCCCCTGCTTGCACCCTAGGCAGTACACAATCATCGGTTTATGTCCCTCGTACACGTCGGTGGACACGAATTCGACGATCAACCCNTTACAGGGTTGCTACTTAATATGGAATATTTTTTATCATTGTTATTTTTGAGTGCTGATTAAAAATTTTTTGGCTTGAGTCATTAAAAAAGTATGTCACTGAGTGATAATAACATCCAGTCTTCTGTTGTGAGATATTTTGTTCAATGATATTAAATCTGACATAAGATGCCATTCAAAAGAAAGGAACACCCCCAGAAAACCATATCAACAGTTTGATGTCAGTATAAACTTTGAGATAAGATATTAAAGAAAATGATAGCCTCCGGACAGTGATATGTTACACAGTCAAAGAACTCACTACAGTAAATCATGAAAAGTCAGTAATTGCGGGTATGACCTCCAGCAGCCGCTTGCAGCGCCCTCATCCTACATGGCATACCCTGTGACACGTTTTTTAGAGTTTGGCTGGGGATATCATTCCACGCAGTGATATTTGCCTGTCGCAGTTCATCACTATTTCCCGGCCGAGGACCATAGCTATTAATTCTGTGAGTTACTTCCGCCCACAGATTTTCAATTGGGTTCATATCTGGAGAGTTTGCAGGCCAGGGCAGTTGCTGAACCCATTGGTTTTGAAGAAAAACAGTGATTCTGCGGCCTCGATGTGGGGTTGCGCAGTCGTCTTGGTACACAAAGTTGTTCCTGAAGATGACTCTTACCAATCGAAGCATTGTTTGCTGTAGAATGTTTCTGTAGGAATCCTGGATGAGGTTGCCTCCTAGAAAAACCAACTGGTTCTGGGCACCAACATGAAATGCTCCCCAAACAGAGACGTTACCATCCCCTGCTTGCACCCTAGGCAGTACACAATCATCGGTTTATGTCCCTCGTACACGTCGGTGGACACGAATTCGACGATTAACCCTAAAAAATCCATATCTGGCCTCATCACTGAAAACGACGTGATTCCAGTGTTTTGGCTGCAAACGCACGTGGTCCCCAGCCCATTGCAGACGTCGCTGTATATGACCTCCTGTTAACAGTGGTTTCCCTACTGGCCTTTGTGCAAAATAACCGGCTTGCAGTAATCTCTTGTTCACGAGGGACCTTGAAACGGGCGTTTGAATGACATTCTGCCTCTCTTTTCTGAGGACACTGGTTGTCTTTGTACGACCAGCATGGCGTCCTCTAGGGAGAAGGCGATCCTGTCTTCTTGGTGTGATACGCGGACACCCTGGTCGAGGTATTGGAGTAGGTGCCCCTGTTGCAGCAATTCTTTGGAGGACTTCACAAACGGTTCCTTTATAAATGTTGAATTACCTGGCAATGGCTGTCCGTTTCTGGCCATTTTCTCTTAGAGCAAGAATCCCATAGTAAGCTGCGTTGCTTAGCTGTCGAACCATATCTTCACTAATGTACCTGCCAAGTTTCAGAGCGATCCCTTTGTTGCTTCTCTAAACACACTCCAAAGATTGACCACACCCATGCGTTTTTATACAAGGGCAGAAATTGCCGAAAAGACCACCCCTCACATTTCTGACCACAGAACATGCAACTGCATGCATCAATTGTTTCGAGAGTTGTGTGGTAATTAGGTAACACACCTGGCTACACATGGAGTGACACCTCAGCTTTGGATTTAAAGTAGTTAGAGAGAAATTAAATATTTTGTAGAAAATTTACTCGCCAAAAAATAATATTCCATATTAAGTGGTAACCCTGTATATTGGTTTTTGAGGACAACCACCATATTATTGTATTACTGCAATATGTCAAATCAAATATTGGTTGCTGAGGATACAAAAGTTGCTTTATAATTCTATATAAGTATCCAATCTAAAGAAAATACTTAAAATGTTCAGAGTGGAGAAGTGATAACAACATGGAATGTTTGAAAGAATTATTGCTGTTGTAGGTGGTAACTCGAGGGAATGATCAAGTAGCAATCAGCTCCAAGTTTGAAACAAGAGAAGATATAGGTATATGGAGGGTTAATAAAGTTAAACATGTCCACTTTCAAGTTGACAGTCAGAGTAAAAGCCGAATTCATCGTGAGAGTGACTTTTGTATTTAAAAATCTAAAATGCTTTTTATTTAGCAAAGATGAAGGAATTAATCCAAGCTTTGTATATTTCCTAAATTTTACTTCATTATTTAACAGACCATTTCTTTTGTTCAAATTCTCATAGAGTCTTAGACTCTCAGACCTTTAATATATTGAAAGCACTTATGTTCTGGTTTTACACAAATGCAACTGACTGACAAAGAACTTTCTTTCTGCAGCTGTGATACGTAATTATGGCAACCTCTTAGTTGAACTTTCCACAGTGGTACCAGATGGTATAGTGTGTTTCTTCACCAGTTATGTATATATGGTAAGTGGCAAATCCTACACGTCACTGCATTCAAGTAAAAAATTTATTAGAATAAAATCTTTAAAATTGAAAAGTAAATAAAAGTTTAATTTTGATATCAGATGCACTGCTTAAATTCTGGAGTTACTGCATTAAACATATACAATATACATGTGTCAATGGATGTGACACATCACCTGGTAGTGTGCCAGCGGTGATTGTGTTAGTTGAGCAGTTGGTAATCACAATCTCAACCATATAGAACTCTATAGTAGTTGAACTCATGTATCCTCTATATTAGCCATCTGAACTTTTACACTACAGAACATTTAATCAGCACGGAGTATTTTTTATTTACAGGAAAACACAGTTGCTGCATGGTATGAGCAGGTATGTAGCACTGAGGAATATTTATTTTAGATTAAGAATTAGAGGTTGGGGGTTGAAGTCTTAATTCTCCATCCATTATTTTCTCAAGTAAAAATTTACCTTTCAAATACACATCAGTGTAAAACAGGGGCAGAAGACCCAGGAGACAGCCTTAATCCACCCCTGTAAAATGCTAACAAAAATTATGGTATTTTTAAAAAACTGATATTAAACGAATGAAAAGTAATACAGTAGTAAAACGATTCAATTATCTTAAATTAGGCATTAAATTTGTACATTAAGTTAGTAACCAAATGCCACCTTATAGTCTCAAATAGGATAACTGAAAGAATACCAAAGAATTATTTTACATAAATTCCTACCCAGATAGTGATATTTGCACATATATTCTCTTGCCCTCTGCTGATCAGACTGGAGGCGAAAAAAATCTCAAATTTATGACCAGAATTAAAATAATGTACAGTTTTAAAGCCTTTTTTGGTGCTGCCCAAGAAATTATTTTTTTTAAATGTGACTTTTACTGGTGCTAATCATTTATGTCCATATCATGACTGTCACTTCAGTTGTATGTTTAGGATAAAAGCACTGTCCATTTTAAGTTGTAACACGTTTAAATTTCCAAAAACTAACAAAGAATAATTTTCTCTATGCATTTTGTTCAATATAAATTGAATATATAGAACATTATGGTATTGAAACAGTGATTAATTTTTAAGCAGAATAGTTTAAGGAGTTGAAACTACATTTGAGAGTATTTGAGAATAGCAATCAAGTAACAATCATTTCATAGCTTTTTTTGATGCAAATAGTTCTAGGATAATTTGGGTATCGCATCTTCTGTTCTTAGCCAAAAATGGGGCAAATACTTACAGATTTTTAGTGGACCAGTATAAATGTGTGGTTTAATAGTTATAATAAGACTGAAGTAAAGTCTGCTTTATAAAGATGTATTCCATCATTAATATGACATTTGTAAATATACCTGAAAACAATTTAATATAAGATAACAGAAAATGAGCAGATAAACTCCTCACCTGATAAACAGAGGAGTACTGCATCTTTTTTTTTCCAAGAAAATCTCTCTTGAATTTTAAGTTCAGAATAATGACACAGAAAATTAAGACAAAATTAGAATCCTTCCATTCAGATGAGATTAGTTCCATGGATCACCATTTGGAAGTTTTATCATCATCTGAAGTTTGGCAAGTGTTGGCAGAGCAAGGTGTTGCCACATCAGAAGACTTGGGCACATCTGCTGTAGACGTTACTTCTACTTCACTCTTGGCTTCCACAGACCCAGAGGTAAAGACATCGGCACATGTGGAAGTATTAAGAGTGACATCAGTCAGAGAAACAGCGGTGATGTTTATAGTCTCCTCGTGTTGGCCCTGACTAATGGTGATTGTAGACATTTCTGGCACGGCAGAAGACTCGGCGCTGTCAGCGTAATTCCTCACAGAGCTGGTTTTCTGTCCTCCTTTCTGTGGAGAGCCTCTAGCACTCCTCAGTTGGCCAGTGTGTCCGGGGGAATTCTGTGCTTGATCCAACTTCTGAGACTTTTGGTGCAGGTTCAGGGCCCCTTCTTTGACCCCATTACCTGACCCCACATAAGACTCAGATCTCAAAGCATCCTCTGGTCTGCTGGACAGAGGAATTTGGTGTCTAAATGTATTTCTGAAGGGTGGCACTTGAGCTTGCAAGTGTCTAAGCTGTAATAGTTGCTGCATATTGGCTGCAGCAAACTGGTCTGCAGCTCTTGATTGGGCTTGTCTTGTAGAGGAACCTGCTGCCACCTTGGATCTGGTCTTGACACTTCTCTGTAAAGGTGGCTGCTGAAGACTGGAGGCAGAGCTGGTGGCAGAAACCTGGGGTGCTTGGAACACATTGGGAGCCGTATACATGTAACCAGGTGGCAGGGCAGCTAATGGCTGAGCCCACATGGGGACAGGGATGGGACCAAGAGGAACAGGAACAAGCTTGGAGGGATCTTCTGGAGCCTTCTTCTTGGATCTTGAATGTCTTTTTTTAGTGCCAGTCTGAGTCAAGATGCTGCTCAATTGCTAGAAAAAAAGTTACAGAAAAAAGACAGATTATAGTTACATCATTTTGGTCTTGTACATATTTCACAAACTGCCAAAATCTTTAAGATAAATGGAAAAAATGTTAAACTCCTGCTTCAAACTGGAAAGGAAACATTCAAATTCACTGTAAGTTAAAAGGCACGTACTTACAGCAATAACATAACTGTTGTCCATGTTTGGTTTCTTGTTTGGATGCATCAGCTCATTGCACAGGGAGGAGATCTGACTCTCTATCTGCCTCTTTGCCTTCTTGGGACGAGTTGTGTTGGTGCGGTTTCGTTTGTTGGCAAACCAAGAATTCACCTTTTGTAGAAACAGAAAAAGTTCTGAAGGGCATACTTTAACACTTTCTAACAATAACAATCCTGATGAAACAACCAATCACAATAACTTAGTAAAAATACAAAAATAATATTAAGCACTCTGGGGTTGTTGCACTGGAGATCATTGTTAAAAAGTCACATTTCTTCTTCATCATTCAGCTTCAACAGCATTCAAAATAAAAGTGTTTGGTACAGGAAGTAAATTAATAAATTTAAAGAAAGAATATAATAGAGCTTCAAAAATAACCTTAAAAACCGTGTATCACAGTACCTGATTAATGCTAATATTTCCTTTATCAGCCATCCACTCCTTCTCCTCTCTGCTGGGATATGGGTTCTCCATGTGGCTCTTAAACCAAGTGCTCATCAGTTCCACGGCCTTTGGCTGCAGAGGATTGGTTTTCTTCTTGTCATGTGCCATGTTGGGTTTTGACGCTTGGGTCTTTGCTGCAGTCTGATTAGTTTTCTGAAAGTTGTGAAATTGACCAGCTCACTAAGTCAGAAATTTTTGTCTGAATGCAGGTCTCTTGGGCTTAGACAGAAAATACCAACAAATATTGAATGATGTTACAAGTAAAAGCCAGAGCAGGATGTGCACCAATCCACTGGGAGTTTAGAACTGAGCCATGGTCCTTCTTTCTTGACTAAAAATTGACAACCACAACTCATCGTACCTTATCAGTTTTAACTGGTTGCACAGGTGCCAGCTTGATGGCAGTGAATGGAGGCGCCTCCATCCTGGCAGATTTGGGGGGTGGAGGCTCAACTGATGGAACTGCCACAGTGGCTTCACTTGACTGGGATGTCTTTTTTTTCTTGTCTGAAAAAATATATTTAACAGTCCACATAACTTTTATGCTTCAAGCTTACAACAATAGACCAACATCAAAAATACACAAAGCAATCATTACTTTGGGTCATAATGTCTTTAATGAATAATATATATTTCAAAATATTGTCGGTATAGTTAAATTCCAGCAGATTTCGAGGTATTTGCATACCAATCTTTCGTGCATCTGAACAAACCTTATTAACAACAAGCGTCAGTTTCTAGCAGGACCTGTCCTGTCCTTTAATATACCCAGAGCACTTATCTACTTATACATATATGTATATCAGCCGTATATCAAGTACCTGTGAACATGGGTACAGTGACTGGCAGACATAGTCTTCTGATGCTAGGGGGGTCAGGAAGGTTAGACATGGGGGAGGCTGGCAAAGAGGAGGACCTCACACAGGGGGGGTCTGGCAAGCTGGACAACGGGGAGGAATGAAGAGTGGACGCTGGTTCACTTGCTGATATAGTGGTGGTCTGTGAAGAGTAGTTATAGCCCATGTCTATAGAACTACAGGGCACTGCGGTGCTGGGACACTCCGAGCAGGTTGCCATGGTGACCAAGGTCGGGTTGTTGCTGTTATTGTTGATGTCTACTTCTGTCATGCTCACAGACGGGAAGAGATTCCCAGGGGTGCCACCTCCAGTGTGCTGGGGGGATATAGGGGAGAGGAGGGGGCGTGGTGTAGACATCCCCAGGGGTTTATCTGCTGGTCCAGGAAGGTCGTCAAGGTCACTTGGAGGCACTGTCTCATGACAGAGGAGAGGATCCTCTTCACGCACCATTTGGGTCTGTAGATATTTGGAAGATGGTTGACTGTGGGACAAGATCTTGGCAAGTGAGGGCTGCCTTGCTGCTGTTGCAGAAGCCACTTTTGGGTCAGTACTGTTATTGTTAAGATCTTGTTGTTTCTTCTGTAAACCAGTCTCTCTGAATTCAGTATTTTCACCCTGTAGATACTTGGGGGTAGTCAGTGGGCTGTGTGTTGTGCTGGGGAGATGGTCATAGAGCAGGGCTGATGGGAACATTGCACAGGGTTTGGCCGAGGCTGAAAATGGTGGCAGATTAGAGGCGCTACTGCACACTTGGTGAGGTTCATAGGAGTTATATTGTCCAGGATCTGCAGGGTACCTGCTGTAGTTGAGTCTGTTTTGAGGTAGTGACTGAGGTGGAAGATCTAAAATAATGGAAAATAATAATTTTACTGATTATGTTCAAATAATATGACTTTACTTAACTAACTTTAAAACTGAAATTCCTCCCCATAGCAGCATCTAGCATTGGAATGTGCCAAAGTGTTCTCTATGAAGGGGCGGATTTAGGCCGTCATCTGGGTCTTCCAGAAGACAGATTTTCAAGTTTACATTGAAAGGTATCTGTTTTCAGTCAGAAGAGGGTCAAAATGGAGGACGGGTCAACAAAGTTTAATTTCCCTGACAACCCTACTGCACCTTTTAAATGTAAATGAAAATAAAGATTATCTGTCAAAATGGTGCAAATAATATAGATGTAACTTCAACTTATCATAAAAAGTAATAAAATTTGTAAAAGAAATATAGTAAATTGATATAACATGGTAGTGATATTCACAGACACAAGTGGTCACATTTGATAAATATATTTCTACTGTCAACATGTAAAAATGGCACATTAGAATTCTGTAGAAAGGTGTGCATATTGTTAAAATAAACAAACTTAAAAAAGAATAATTATTAAAAAATAAATGGTACTTCGTTAATACCCTGACTAACAATACAAGTCCTATCAATGGCTTTCTTACAAACAGCCTTATAGCTTACCTGGAGGTTTGTAAACTGGGATTTGACTGGTTGGATAGGAGGGAATAGATGAGATGGTATTGGTTCCATTTTCATTCTGAAGTAGTGTCCAGCGCAGCGACCCACTGTGGTTAAAGGTGTGGTCAGTTCTCAAGGTACTGGAATGGTCAGTTCTCAAGGTACTAGAGTGGTCATCTGGCTGGAGAGGCTGTACCGCAGAGGTCATTGAGCTGTAATCCTGAAAAACACAAGAAGTCAATAAACACCATTTAACCTTAGGTAAAAAATGCAGTCTTTTAATTAAGCTAGCACTTCCTGTCTTTAAGGAGGGGGGGGGGGGGGAGGAGGTTATCTTGGGGAAAGTACCGACATGGTCCACAAAACTGATAAATCAATAAATCGTACACGTACACATGTATATGTAAATGCATTTTTCTTTAAAGCTGGCTTAAAATTTTACAGATGTTTGCATTGAAGGTGCTTTGCTGTTGATAATCTTTAGTGCTGTCTGAGCCCATGTGGTTGAATTCAATAAAAAGAGCTAAAATCTGAATGTAAAGATCTTGATGAAAGGTAAAAATTAAAGAGCAGTTAAAGCAGTGGCAGAGTTAGGGGAGGAGTGTCAGGGGTCCTGCCCCCCTCCCCCCTTTCAGTTTCTGAAAAAAAAATCACACCAATAGTCCCTTCTTTAAATTGAAATTTTGATTAGCAGAATCATAGTTTTAAACCATACCAAATGGCAACAAATTTTTTGTGGGCTGTGAAGGCTAGGATGCGAAGCAGACCCATGAAATACCAAGGGGAGTGAAGGTGGGCTTCATGTCCAAAGTCTGTCATTCCTCTGATGAAACTGGACCCCACTTCAAATATTCCTGGATCCACCCCTGTCAAGACCTGCCCCCCTCCCAATCAGCCTATGTTGAAATGTCAGGCTACACTGCAATCACTTTGAAAGACACATTGTATCAGTTTGTATTTTCCATATTGCATGCACCCGTAGCCTAATATTCTATCTGTGCCTACTTCACAAGCACATTTCTTTGCTTTGAAATTCCTAGAATCAAAATTTAAAATGTGCATTCATGCCTAGCTCCTCTATAAGTTATATGTGACAAGGGGGTGAAGTTCAAGTGGGGCAACTTTACACTCATATTTGAAAGTAGCATATGAAAAAAAAATGATGAAAAATGGTGTAAACAAAGCTTTTGCTCTAAGAGAGTATTCAGAACAGTGGACTAACAGATCCCCACGTCAAATATGGCAACCCACTAAAAAACTTGTCCCTTAATTCCCAATAAGACATTGAATAATTTAAAGGGATAATAACTCCTTTGTCTTGGCCAAAAAATGAATTTTCCAGGAGTAAACAACAATTTTCCCATAGTTACCAATGATTAATGAATCCATTTTTACATTCAAAGTTAGTCCTTATTTTTTTTTTCTAAAAAGTTTGGTTTTTTGTTAAAATCTCTTAAGAGATTATAACAGAGTATAGCCATCAACGGAGGTCACATGATCTGAAGACAAGCTCAGATATCAGAATAATAGCTATAACTGCTGTTTTCGTCATAAAACAGAATGTTATATTTCTATGAGTTATTCACAATGATTTTATTGTGAAATATAGATTTCACACGAAGAGTTATTATTCCTTGAAGTGGGTCAGCCATATATGATCCAACAATGTGTTAGTCCCGTTCTGTGTGAATGGGCTCTTAATAAGGGTTTATTCATTCTCAGCTATGTAGCTATCTGTGTGTATTAAATTTTAAGTCCAACTTAATGAGAAAAAAACTTGTGTGTGGACCCTACTTTACATTATAATTATTAAGTAAAATGTAGTTTATATTTAAGAATGTGCCTCTTTCCTCTTATAACTGACACTGTACATGTACACTATGTATTGTACTCACCGTGCTTCCATAAGATCTACTGTCCCGCGTCCCCTGGGTCATCCACATGGGGGTGGAGGTCTCCCAGTCTCTGTATCCATACAGCTGCTGGAAGCTGTAGACCCTGGGGACACTGCAACCAAATACTTGGACAGGGGGGAGGCGGTTATAAGGCTGGTCCTGGGTCCCCAGGGTACCCCCCATAACATCACGAAAATATTCCTCAGAACCTTCAATGTCTCCCGTGTCTGCTTTACACATGTTATCCATGAGAGAGTGTGTCTGGAAAGTTTGTGGTTCAAGGGGCTGTGTGAACGGACTGTGCCACTGGTAGTCTGTGCTGGAATAGAGCGCGGTTCTGGTGCTGGGGCATTCTGAAACAGCCTAGAAAATAAAGGAAAAGGCAGTTTTTAGGTTTTCGTAATATTTTGCAAGAATATTTTGTATATATACCGTAAAATGTGTGGCACTCCTCTGGTAGTTTGATAAAATTGATGGTACCCCATCTGGCTTGTTGAAACATTTCTCTTTCTTATCTAAATGTTTTTAAATTATGGTTTTCCAAATGAATAAAAAAATATAACAATAATAATTGTAATATTAATAAAATTGATAATAATTAGAACTTGAAATAAAACGTCTCTGTTGATTTAAACCTTGCATAAGAAAAATGCCATTATTCTTAGACTAATCTGATTCAGTATCACAATATATGAAGAGCCAATATGAAGTGTAGTGGCTATGTATGCCAAATGTGACCACCTTGTCTTCCTCAGCGTCTTCACTGAGAACCTGTCCCGTACAAGACTCGTGCGTTCCTTCATCCCTGGTTCTAATAGGCTTAAACTTCAATTTCAACGAGTGCCCATCCATAATACTGACATATCTTAATTCTAGCTGAGAGATCTTCACGTGTAAGGTGTCAGCTCCAAGACAGACTTGGTATCACTGTTTGGCAGACTTTTCCCTCACTGGCTCTCTACTAAGCCAGTAGCTCTCACCTAATGACAGCCGTAATGACTGAGGGCAGTGTGTATATGAGTGTGTGTAGATGGAGGCACATGGCCTCAGTTGACAGAAAATCAATAATGATGAGAATGAGGAGAGACTTGTCAAATGGGTGGTCCCATTTTGTTTTGGGGGAGGATTGAGGGGAAGCTTTTAAATTTTTAAAATTTGAATTGTTATGGCCAAGAAATGCAGTAAAAGGGTTTTTAATTCTTACAGCTTCACTCTGATTCTATAGTATATGTCTTTGTACATGGGTCCTTTTACTACACATGGAAATAGATTTTATTTATTGAACGATAGTTTATGACCATTGCCACCCCCTAAAACGGTCACATGATTATTCAAAGCTGCCGGGGAGCAAGGTCTCTACGTCATTTACACACCAAGTTTCACTTTTCCTCTCAAACTGACTGCAAGTGCAGAATTTACTGTTAGGTGTGACGACTCTTTGATTTAATTTGGATTCAAGAAGAATGTTATCTTAATGATGTTTGATCTTTTAGGGAATTATAGACAACATCCAGAAGCACAAATTACTTTTCATAGAGACTCAAGATGCGGCTGAAACCAGTTTAGCACTGCTCAATTATCAGAAGGTAAGTTATGGAATGAAACCGCGTCTTTTAGATGTTTTCGGGTTTATGTCTGCCGGGTATGCTTCTTGTTATGTCGTTGTTCAAATAGCCTCTGCTACCGTGTGATGAAAAAAATGTAAAGAAAGAAGGAAACTGGAGTTATTAACCAATTACGTCCTTAGAGTTCTGCTAAGATATAACGTATAGAATTGTTTTTCAAGGCTTGTGAAAATGGCCGAGGAGCGGTATTACTGTCCGTCGCCAGGGGTAAGGTATCCGAGGGAATAGATTTTGGTAAGTTTGTTTTCTTTCCTCATTCAAAAATTTAAAAACATTTCTTTTTGCCAAAATTTGGAGTAAAACGCAAAAAGTATAATCTTTGCCAACATACATACACTAGTACATGTACATAAGGTGGTTTAATCTCAGCAGTAAGTTTGTTATGATGGTAAATTTCTTTCTATAGAATTTCAAATTTTATCTTCAGATGTAAAAGTGCATTTAGCAGAATTCTTAGCAAAATGTAAGGTTGTTGAATCCCAGGTTTTGATAAGAATTTTTTTAACAAAATTTTTTACGTGGCTTTTTTCTTGTCAACTGTTTTCAGATCACCATTATGGGCGGTGTGTTATAATGTTTGGGGTTCCTTATGTCTATACACAGAGCAGAATACTTAAGGTACCAGGAGTTCTCATAAAATGATAATAATAATATTTTAAAAAAAGATAAAATATTCATAGATATTTATGTTCTTTGACTGCTTATTAAAGGCTGCAAAGTTTCTGAAGTTCCTGTGGGAAAGTGTTGTTTTAGTTGCTGGCAGTAGAAGCAATAGTATAGCATGAGACGTCATGTTTGTATCTATCATACAGTTATGTCATAAGGTGTTGACTTTGTAATCATACATGTAATAAGTCATGAATTTTCAGGCTCGTCTGGAATATCTGCGTGAGCAGTTCCAGATACGTGAGAACGACTTCCTAACCTTCGATGCAATGCGCCATGCAGCTCAGTGCGTAGGCAGGGCTTTGAGGGGGAAGACAGATTATGGAATCATGATTTTTGCTGACAAGGTGAGGGTTTGGATAGCCACTCTTTGGGGATTATTGAATTCTTTAAAGCCAAAAAACCTAACTTTTGACAAACTTATTTAATGCTGGCAGAAGAATGATATTTGATTTACTGATAAAAATGTATACCTTAGTGTGAGTCAGCACTTTTGACATTTTTAATCATCTTGTCATGTCCAGGGTTTTCTAAGGGTCAACTTTCATATTTGTTGTTTGAAAAACACTGCCATCTGCTCCAAAGAGTATCACCTGAATAATCTGAATGTTCAAACTGAAAGTTATCCACAGCTTTGTAATCTGAAGATCCATTATATTCTAAAACTTGCATAAATCTTTTCATTATCTTAATCCAGAGATTTGCCCGAGCAGACAAGAAAGGGAAGCTGCCCAAGTGGATTCAGGAGTACATGAAGGACAGTGTATGCAATCTGTCCACAGATGAGGCAGTGCAGGTGGCCAAGAGGTTCCTCAGGCAGATGGCACAACCCTTCACCAGGGTAAGCTGTGAAGTCAGATATTCTTGTGATAAATGGAAACTGGTTTGTAAGATTCGGACAATTGAAATGGCTGTTGGTTATGAAAATTTTGTCAGGAGAGGGCAATTTTAAACTGGTGTGAATAACTAAACCCCCTATAAAGTTTACAAAATAATCCATGTAATTCTTTGATTTTTAGGAGGATCAGTTGGGGCTGTCACTTCTGACCATGGAGCAACTTCAGTCAGAAGACACTCTGAAGAAGTTGGAACAAAAGTCACAGATGGTGGAATTCTAAGCCAGACTTCTCTTCAAGCCATATTAAATTGGCCAGAACTTAATTGGATCGTTATTGAAAGATAAACGGAAGAGTTCCAAGATTATTTTTGAAAAAAAAAAAAAAAAAAAAGGCCTGACCATGAAAAAATTCCTGAACAATTTAAGAACTACAGTTAGTGCATTGCAGTAAAATCGTTTTGGAAATTCTATTTCGCAATTCAAAAGGAGTTAAAATCGTTTATAGTACAGTTTCTTCTTTATTCATACATGTAATCAGTTTCATGCCATTACATTTTAGATAAGAAGCCAAGAAATAAAATAATAATCAATCACTCTACAAATGTTCTGTCCATTTAAATGTTAAAGGTTTGATAATTAAGTTTCCTATCAATATATGTAAAAATGTGCATTCTAACTTGCTACAAATATCTACAACAATGAATCTATATCAAGTGAACCATTCTATTTAAGTCCTAACCATGAACACATTCACCCAAGTCACAGCTGCACATATGAAGTGCCAAGAAATCTGATGCATATATACATGATGAATGACATGATTTATATTAATTAATCTTGCATATAAATGAAGGTCCTACCAGACTAATGTCAACACTTCCCAGAAACTTAAATATTTGTCAAGAGCCATGAATGAAAGTTCTCAAAACTGGCATATTTTGACAAAGTAACCAGACTGAGGTTTCAGAATACATAGGTGACTTAATGGGCCTGCTGGAAACCTGTGATGTCCCACTAGGGTAGAGGAGGGGTTGTTTTCATCTGTGCGTATTCAGCTCAAAGTGGGACACTGATATCCGCTTGACCTCATCATTGAACTCGACACGCTTTCCTTCAATTATTGTCATGAAGCATTGTTCAAATTCTCTGCGGATGTCACCCAAGTTAGGCAACTCATCACAGCTGGGGACGTTCAAAAGTCTGTCAAAGAAACGCTTCCACAGGTCTTGCTTCCACCACCTGCAAATAAAAGAACCATTAGCATTTGGGAGGTAATGTCTTTTCTAGAAACCAAATTGCCGTCCCATTCCCTCGTTTTGTATTGTTCTGAGAGAGCATGCCAGAATTCACAGTATCTTAAACTGCAACCACAGCCAATATCTTCATAAAATTTTGACATCTTTAGCACAGGTGTGAAAAACTGTATTCCTAAGTTCTTTTACCTTTTCACTGTATTTGTGGTCTTCCATCTCCCATTAGTTTGAAAAACATTCATGTATCCACCAAATATTAATACATGTATGGTCCCAACAATGCCAAAGAGGTCAGTCTGGAAAGTAACACACAAACCTGTTTATGACATTGAATGCATTTAATACTAAACACGCACACAAACATAAATGCTGGAACACATTTTTTGTGCTTACTGAGTTGTGCACTTTTATTAGAGAGAGAGGGTGGGGGTAAGAAAGATGAGAGTTACCAGATAAGTCCAGGGCATATCTGTCTTCATTTAAATACACTGAAATCCAGAGGTGTTCACTTTTATTAGGGGAGAGGAGGAGGGGGAGGTAAGTTACCTGATATGTCCATGGCATATCTGTCTTCATTTCAATACACTGAAATCCTGAGGTGTTCACTTTGGCCAGGAAAGTTGTCCCTGCAGGGAACATGGTCATGTCTATGCTGCGGCCAAAGTCAATCAGTTTCATACTGGGTGTGGCTCCAAATATCACCTCAGGGTCTCTGCTGTCTGGTAAGTGTGGACTGGAATGGTAGTAGAAATAAAATAATACTGAACATTTAAATTAAATAGTGTAAAACATTGCCATGTGCTTTACATTATATGTGTTAGCCTCTGCCTATAGAAAAAAATCATCACTGTAAAGTGAACACAGTTGATTGCTGTGCAACAGTTTACAGAAGAATACACAGAATATAAAGAATAAATAAGCTTTTTACATCCAATGACTGCACAGT